TATATGTATAGATAAATGATATATGTTTGGGGGGTTTAAAGTAGGTGCCTCCAAGTCACAGATATATATATGTATAGATAATATATATATTATATAGATAAATGAAAAGTCATCTTCCTGACCATCCACAGATACGTTCCCTTAAGATTGAGATGCAATCATGAGATTACATATATATATATATATATATCACATGAGATCATACATTACAATGCAGGTAATGGGGACATACCAAGCTGCTTTAGCAAAAGTGAGCAACAATTTCCAGAGTTGATAGATTCGTAGACCTTGTCTGGACAGGATTACCCTCCATCAACTCTGGTGGGTTGACATCTGAACACTAGTTGTCACCTGCTGAAACTCCCCTGGCCCTGACACCTGTCCCTTTTTTGTTTAAAAAGAAGCCTGTAAATGTCTTTTAGGTAGTGAGAAATGTGGGTAATGAAAAGTGTGATGATGACTGGAAGACCAATAATGATTTTGAAATTAATAATGATTTATATTGATATGTAGTCAATATTTATCAATGATTTATAATCAATAACAAATATTATGATCAGTAATCTATATATGTAATCAATAAATGATAATTTATATTGATGGCAAGTTGAGAACTATTTTAAACACCTTGTAGATATGATTGTAAATGATTTTTAATATTTTTTGATATATAGTAAGATAGAAAAGTAATATAGAAATCTATAATAGTTTGGCATGGTGTGGTTAAGTGTGTTTGAATATTATGATTTTGAGTTATTAAAAATAATGATTAAGTTTAGAATGTTAGTTTTATCTATTAGTCTTTGGTCAGTTGTATTAATATGATCAATTTGTATTTTAATGAAGCATTGTTAGATAAAGAGTTTGCCTGAATTAGTGGTGTGCACCTGTAGGACCAAGGCTGTGGATAAAGTTGAACTAATATTCAAATTTGTAATCAAGGTAATAATAAAACATTTTGGCTATGAGAGGGCAGACCCAACTTGCCTCAAAGTATACATAGCAAGATGTTCATAACAGAACAATTGTCAAAAGTACATAAGTAGATTGATAGTACACACATTTTAGAATTATGGGCAGAAGTTATATAATTAGTAATAGAACTTTTTTTTTTTTAAAGGCAGTCCCACCCCAGGGCTGTAGAGTTCTGTATAGAAAAAAAGTGGGGAGTGACATAGAGGTGTCGAAATGGATCATGGTTTCTTCCTGCTGATATGGGGGTGAAGCTGGGGGTCCTGCAGACTGGAATGCCAGTGAGAACCCAGGAAGAGCAGGCAGCAATGGGATCAGCCTGAGAGCCAGCTAGCAGAGTGCAGCAGAACCCCTGGAGTGTGAGCCGGAGGGCAGGGCACAGCGCTGCAGCGAGACGCAGCTGGAGAAGGATGACCTTCAAAACGATTACAATCTGCTGAACTACGTATAAATGGCAGAGCCTGCAATTAAGGAATTTTAAGGAGGAACTTTTTCTCTTAGGTGCACATTTGGAATTTTTTAAGTACCCAGTTTTGACAGATGAGAAAAGGGCAGTTAGTCGTCTGTTTGGGGGTTTAAAGTAGGTGCCTCCAAGCCACAGAAGTAGTTTTGAGTGTATTCAGAAAATTACAAAGAAAATGACTTAAGTGCCTAGTGACGTTGGCAGCTGGAGGTTGAGCCTATATCTGATCTAAACCAGCAATTGCCCTTTAGCAGGGACGCATGCTGCTTCGTGAAATGGAACAGGGCTCTGGTTTCATTTAAATGCAATTTGAGCTGCTATCTCCACAGAAGCTAGGGTCCAATTCTGGGAAGACAGACGTCTCCTGCTCCACTTTCCTGGGGGTGGCGGTGAGCTAAAAGGAAGAAACCTGTCAAGTTGTTTGCCAGACTCTACCAGAAGATGGCGCAATCTGAAAACTCATTTCTGCGTCTCCACAGAACAAGGTCTTGCTGTTTTCCACATGAGGTTTAAGATCTGAAACAGAACTGGATGAAAACCAACTAATAGAAAACACAGTCCATATTATGGAAATTCTTTGCTCTCCTTGGGGGTATTTTTTTATGAAAAGTTTTGGGTGCAAAGGGAACAAATATCGGCACCAGCCCACCCTAACCCCAACACATCTATGTGCATTCTGGAATGTTAGAACGTGTTCTGTTCTCAGGTTCCTGTGGAGAAGGGTACAAGAACAAAGGACTCTTCTGTGACCATGAATAACAGGATGGGTTGAGATGGGGTGGACCATGCTTCTAGAAAGACCCACTTTCAAGGCTGTAGCTCTATGACCTTTCCTGCTGCCTCAGAGGAACAGAAACTTCCTGACTCCTACAATCCAGCCATTTGGCTTTTCTAATTCTCATAGAATTTAAAAATTGGATAGGACATTTGAGAACATTTGGTTCAAACATTCTCCCAGCATGGAAGTCATTCCCATTATCTCCCTGGCCACAGTTACAAACAACATCTCAACATCTGTCTGTGAACCTTACCACGGCGATCCCATGTCCATGTGGCTCCAGGGCAGCCTCCCAAGCATAGGGGAGATTGCCTCTTCAGCTGTGTGGCTGATAACAATATTTCATGAGTTCTGTACATTCACATCTGTCCATTGAATACCCTCATTCTTCTAATAGACATGGGGCTTTGTGGGTTGGTTAGCAAACCAGACAGCATGCACCTCTTTACAGAATTCCACAGCCAGCATTCGAGACAGGTCCTGTGAAAATGAAGGACTTGGTGCTCAGCGAGATTAAGTCACCTGTCCCAGAAAACTTGTCTCATAGGGAGTGGTGGTGGTAAGTGGCAAGAGGCTTGCCGTGAATGGTCTATCTGACGCAAAGTTTGTACCTTGAACTTTGATACTGATATTAATGCATCTCTGTGTGTGAATGGCTCTGGAGAAATTCGAAATCATTGCCTTTTCACCTGAACCTCACAGGGTGCATCTAACCCACCGGGCATTTAGATCATTCTCCTGCAGTTGCTCAGCAATGTATCTAAGCTCTATACTTTCTATCTCATGACAACTTTTTAGATATTCATACTAAGATCATTCTATCTTTCTAAATTGGACTAAGTCAATTCAATTTTCTAACTGCTCTCTAAAGATATGGCTATTGGGGTTTGAGGGAATGTTCCAGTCAGTAAAATACTTACCTCAAAATCATGAGGACCTGAATTTGATAAAAAGTCAGGAGTAGCTGCTGCAATCCTAACGCTGGGGAGGCAGAGACAGATAGATCCTTGGGATTCATAGACTCAGCAGTCTAGCAGAACTGGTGAGTACCAGGGTCAGTGAGAGACCCTGTCTCAAATTTAAGGTGGAGAGTGACTGAAGATGATACTTGGCATCAACCTCTGGCCTCTACATGCACCTACACACACACACACACATGCACATACACAGACACACACACAGGAGCACATGCACGCACAGGAACACATACATGCAAACACACACTTGCACAATTATGGCTGTCAGTTGGCTATCTTCTGGCCCCTTGTAAATCACTACCCCTCTTGGAGTCCTGTTTCCTTGTCTGTCAGCCTCCCCATACACGTGATCTTCTGAGACTCACGGTAACTCACCGGACATCTGCCTTTTCCATTAGACTCTGTGAGGGCCAGAGTTATTCTGTTACCATTAACTCCCTGGAGCCTCATCTGGTTCCCTGAATGGTGCAGCTGTTCGGTTGATGAAACAGTTAGTCTACGAATGGGAATAATCCTACCTTCCTTCCTCCTACACAAGAGGATCGTGAGAAACAAATGAAGGACGCACTTCTGCAAAAGTGCCATGCCCTGTTAAAAAGCAACGCTGCTGTCACCAGTAACAAACAAATTGCACACTGGGTAGATTAAGCAACCAGATTCTTTCTTGACCTAAAGCCAAAAAAATGTTCTCATGCCTCTTGGCAGCCTTACAGGAGGCCAAAGATGCCAAAAGTATTTGGGAGGCTTTGCTCTGATGATTATTAAGTGATTTTAGTGTTATACCTTCAGAGGGTCGATGTTAGGATAGTGGTAAAGTTTCCTGGGAGAAAATCTCTTCAGTCATGAGACTAGAATCTCTGGCCTTGGTGGAGACCTACCACTACAGTTGGACTGGTCAACAGACTATCGTTAGAATGAGGGGGAGGGCAGGGAGGTGTCCTTAATTCTGGCTAATGAAGCAGGCAGGCTAATTAGTCCTTCAATGAGATACTGTACCTTTTCTTCCCTGAATCCCCGATCTTAGGAGAGTAGCTCAGTGCTCAGTTCTAGAATTCTTGTCTAGTGTGCACATTGTTCTGGGCTGAAAAACCCCCAAAAGATGCTTGTACTCATAAATATAGCAAATGTTTTCCCTCTGCCATGGTGGTGCACTTTTCCCTTGATCCTAATCCTGGCACTTTTTTCTGTTGTTCCCACTACATATGTTAGTCTTTTGCCGTTCTTCTCCATCCAGCACACAAAGAACCAGCTGGGTTTCTTCTTGCATTGCTTAGATACATAATTTATGTATTTGGTTTTCCTTGTTTTCTAGAACTATTCTGTTGGTGGGATAGACCGTTAGATCTATTTTAGACACTGGAAGGTATTGGCATGTTTTAACCTGCCTCTAATGACGGAGGAAGCAACAGAAAGCATGGACTAAAGTAATTTAATCACATCATGAAATGTTGATTGTGGCTGAAAGTGATCCATTCTAGGGAACATTTTAGGCTAACAGATGATAAAAAAAAACAATATCGTGAAAAATTGCTATTAGTAGTGGGATGTGTCTTTCTTTTTTTAAAAAGAAGTTCCATAGTAGGATACATTGAATTTACTTGTAATGATTATTATGAATGTATTCTATGAAACTTTACCTTGTTAGATTTCCACAGACAATGTCTGGTATGTACCCCTCTGGGAAATAAATTACCACACACACACACACACACACACACACACACACGCACGCACGCACACACACACTCACACACATGCAGACACACATGCACACACAGGGTTGGATTTCATGCTTGTGAGGTGGCAGGCAAGCCCTGTGTGTACTGCTGATGCTGTTTTACAAGCGCTGCCTGATGAGCTTTTAGGGTGAGGCTGTGCCTCCTTTCTTGCTACCAAAGAGCCCAGGACTGGGGCTGTGTTCTGCTGTTTTATTTTTTCTGAGTAGATCCCTTGTCTTTTCCTCTCCACTTTCTGGTTATCCTCATACCACCCTTGTGGGTTTACCGATTGTGTAGCAAGCCAAAGACCAAAGAGCGAGAAGCCAATTGAAGTGGCGGAAAGATAGCAAAACATCGTCCAGTCGGGAGCTCAAAGATCCAGAAGAGATGACTGCAGTAGTCTGACTGAGCGAGCAAGCAAAAGCAACATTCTCAACACCCAGCAGAATCTGGCTCCGGAAAGAGGCAGCCATGCCAGCGGAGCTCCGACTATGTCTCCGTTGATGTTCATCTTTTTCCTGTTCCCACAACAGGTACCTTCACATCATTGGGAACCAATACTAACTCCTGCTGAGAATGGTTTACTATGCCCTGTCTTCTCCTCTCTTCATCATGGAGCCAAGGATCTGTCTGACTCACAACAGAAGGTCTTGGAGGACACTATTATAAATGTGCTTGTATCCGAGACAAGACAGGGCCTTTTGCTCCAGGGTCCCTTCCAACAAGTTTAAACAGCACATGGTAATTTGCCAATAGAAGGTGTATGACACGGGGCCTCACATTCCTCTGGCTGGCCTCAAACTTGCTAGATAGCTGAGAGTGACCTTGAACTTCCAATTCTCCTGCTTCTGGGTTTACAGGCACTTGCTACCATGCCTGGCTTTTCTTTTTACTTTCTTGATAAACTCCCTTGATGAACAGACATTTTTTTTTAATTTTGAAAAGTTCATTTGTGTTGTAGAAGGCTGTTCATTTCCTAGCCACCCAGACTCCTGAAATGATACAAAACTATATTAATTAAATCACCGCATGGCCTATTAAATCTAACTTCTTATTGGCTAGCTTTTACATCTTAATTTAACCAATTTCCATTATTTTGTATTTTACCACAAGGCTCATGGCCTACTGGCAAGGTTCCAGCATGTCTGTCTCTGGTGCCAGCTTGGCGCTCTAACGTGTGCTAGCTAAATTCACACAAAACCCGAGAGGGTTTGGAAAGGAATTCTAGATACAGAAAAACAAAGTTTAGCTACATTTTTTTTCTGTTTTTTTTTTCTTTTTTCTTTTTTGGCTGGCAGCATGTGGCAGCTCCTTTAAGAGAGGTTTTCCCGATTCAGTGGTAGCAGAAAAAAAGCTGCACGGTTTTTGAAACTGCAGGCTTCCTGAGCCGTGCTGCCAGCACAGACTCTGACTCTTTCAGGAGGCCGAGCATTTAAATGGGATTTGTGAGCAAAGTGCTACAACTTGCTTAATGGCAACATAGAGAAGCTGTGTGCTTGAAAATGGGGCTGTGAGCATGGCTCGCGATAAACAGACCTCTGCCCACCATGTTGGACGGGGCAGGGCCAAAAGGTAAAGCAGCCTTAGAAGCACTTAGCATTTTGAGAAATGCTCCTGGACAGAAAAGAATTGCAGATACCTAGTAGGGCAGATTCAGACATAAAAGAACTCTAAATGAGTCACAGTGTTGGATACATGTACACAGGCTTGGGAAAAAGAAGAGAAAGTGAAAAGAAACAGTAAATGTAATATAAAAGGGTGCAAACCACCATAGATTAAAGGAGTAAAAAAATATAATAAAGTAAATATTAAACTTGTAGAAAAAAATAATAAAGTGAAATCAAATAAGCCACATAAAGTTGGAATATACACAGAGAGTCTGGATTATGTATATTATTGCGTTTTCTTTGAAAGTTTTGAATATGAGGGAGCTAAGTAACCAACATATATGCTTTAAAAGTATTTTGTCTTCGAAATTTGGGTCTAAGGATATGTTGCTTTGGAAAAGAAGTTCTTCTTTTGTTTCCACAGAGGATGAGAACCTGTAGAATCCTTCTAGACTAATGTGGTTTGATTGATCAAGAGCCCCCGGAAAGTCACCTTGAATATCCCCAAAGAAAATACTTTGCCCAACAAAAAGCAGGAAGCAGTTGGATAGAACTACAGCCAAATTCCCCAATATGTTTGTAAATGTTTGTTTATATTTAAAGGGAGATATGATATAGATATAAATAATTTGCATTGGTATAGGTCTTGGTTTATTGATACAAATTTAAGGTTGATTTTGCTATATGTTTACTTCTGCTCTTGATTAAGATATTGTGATTGTGCAGCTCATTTAAAAATGAAATGTATAATTAAGAAATATAGGTTAATAGATAAAATCTATAATAGTCAATATTGTAGTCATGTTAGTTAGATTTTCTGGATGTACAGAGATGTATTTCAGATGGATAGGCATTCTTCAAACCTTTCCAAGACCTTTAGAATATGGGATTTAAAACATTTTAAGAGCTTAAGACTTTTTAAGACATGAGACACATCTGCTCCTGGCAGCACCAATTACTTCAAGAAGACAATGGACATTGAAGAGGCTCCTTATCATGTTTGTTTGGGCAAGAAACTGCTCTTGACTGGACTGTTTGATAGTGTGCTGTATGAGCTGGACATGCAGGACCCACAGACAAGTGATTACTGAACTTGCCTTAAAGGTGAGATGATCTTTGGGGTTCCTGCTTTATAAAAGAGTCTACAGACATTCTGCAGGGCACAGAAGACAAACTGACAAACTACCAATATAGACAGAACTGTCTTTAAAATTTCCTGCTTTGTGGAAAAGTCTGCTGGATACTATGGACCTATAGACTGAAGATGAATGCCCCAATGGTAGAGAAGAACTTTGGGTGGCTGTCCACAGTGAGGTGTCTCTGTCAATTCTAGAGTTTTGAAAGTTGCTTACAATGACCTTATTGTTTACTTAGGTAATATTCTATCCTTCTGGAGTCTTTGATGGAGTTCATAGAATAGTTTGAAGAATTCATAGTTATAGTTTTTCTTAATTATTATAAAAGATAAAGTAGATATAAATATTGTAACTATAATTATTGCTTGATACCCGTTTTGTTATATGTAATTTTACTGTGTTAAAGTTAAATCCTTCCTTTTCATTTAATCAGAAAAGGGGAGGAGTCACAGCAAGCTAGGAGAATCCAAGGAGAATTCTTCCCTAGGGCCCTTGGGGAAACACTCTACTCATAGTGTCTTCACTTTGGACACTCAAACTCACAAACTGCCAGTGAAGGCCTTTGTGAGCTACTCAGTTTGAAGAACTTTATTCTAGTCACCCCGGGGAAATGAAGCAGTAGATTGGGTGGGTCCCTTCTGCAAGGAAGAGCATGGCCCCTGAAACACGGGGCTGTTGTCACCTTCTTATTTCTGTATACCAGTTTACTTTTTTGAGTTGAAAGCCACACTTTTTGATGAAGATTGGAGAAAGGGGAACACACACACACACACACACACACACACACACACACACACACACGCAACAGTCACAGCTAATACATGGTTGATGGCTTCTAGTGGATCAGGCTACATACTAACCTGATGTGGGAAATGAGCAAGCAACCTCCAACTACCCTAACCATTTCACTTGCTAACTTGTTATCTATCTATCTATCTATCTATCTATCTATCTATCTATCTATCTATCTATCTATCTATCCATCTATCTTAGGAAGAAAAAAACCCTCCATTGATTATCTGAAGAGGCTGAGTGGGGCTTGGATTCAAACTTATCAATTTTCCTACAGAGCCCCAGCGAATGTTATCCTGACACTGGAAAATGCTAAAACACAGATAGTATTTGTGCAGAGAACACAAAGAGGCTCTAGACATGAAGATATTCGGTGTGTAATATCCACTTGGCCAGAGGCAGTTATCTGGACCACTTCACAAAGTAGTTGGAGGACTGTGGATCAGTGGGCGTTTCCAACCACTTAATGTTCATCGCGAAAAAGGAAGTATAGTGTCAGGGTGTAAACTTGGTTAAAACAAGAGACAAGCTAGGGAAATCAGACAAAATCAGTGGTCCATAGGTTAAAGTTGCATAATACTGTAGACAAGAGGTGGCTAAATATTAGATGCTAGTATGGCTAGAGGAAATGCACACACAACAACTAGCCATTCTTTGGGAAACAGAGAATGTGTTTCTTAATGACTTTAAAATTCTTAAAATTTCTTTCTTTCTTTATTGTGTGACTGTGTATGTGTGTGTGTGCGTGGACATGTGTGTGTATGTGTGTGTGTGTTTAGAGGTACTGGTCAGAGGATAACTTGCTGGAGTAATTTCTCTTCTTCTACCACAAAGTATCTAGCAGATAGAACTCAGGTCATTGGGCCTGGTGGCAAGAGTATTTATCCACTGAGCCATTTTCCAGGCCCAATTTTCTATTTTAAAAATTAGATAATTTCTAGGAAGAGTGACCTCAGTCCTCTTCATGAACAGCATTATAGATATTGACATTCTGGGTCACCCTTGATATGGAACCTAAGTGTCCCCTGGAGAAATATTTATTTCTCCAGGGCAATATCTGAGTCACTGTTTTGTTTCTGCCATCACTCACAGCCAGAAGCTTAAACCTCACCATGTGATTCAGCAAAAAGGGCTACATCCTTGTTGGTGAAAAGAACAATTAATTTAAATCTGAGATCTGCTGCCAACACCACATCGGCATGAGATAGAAGCCCCGTGTGACTTAACAAGGAAATCACTGGGGCTCTGGAGGCTTATGTAGCTATGCTGGCTGACTGCAGAGGTTCCACTATAGAGTGTCAAGGAGATGCCACTGCTGTGAAGATGACCATGGCACACCAGTCAGACTGGCTTACTGCCACAGAGTTGGCCAATACTTTCCCCAACTCTTCTACGGATAGAAGATATCATTAATATAAAGCAATCACAGCAGCTAGTGAGCCTGGAGACAGAGTGCACCCCATCTGGGCATCCTTCTGGCCCCATCAGTCAAAGTGTCACAGAAGGTGCCAGCAGTCCCTCAAGCTTGGCCCCCAGGACTGTCTCAGCCCTTGAGAGGCTGTGAGTCCGATGGAGCAGCAGGTGTTTCCTGTCTCTCACCCATGCCAATAAGAGTCTATGGCAGTCAAAAGTTGACTTCTTGGATTCTGTCATGCAAGCTGTGGCAGCTCTGCTGCCCAAGATACAAACCCCTTGACTTGGCAGCTTCTCACCTGCTATGGGGCTCTGTAGAAATAGGTCATCCCACACTCACAACTACTCTGAGTGACTTTAAAGCTACAGGAGTGCTTTCTTTTTCAATTCTCACCAACCCAACTGATAAAATCAAGCTATCCTAGCAGGGCTCTATCATCAGTTAAAAATACGGTCAAAGCACATTTAAGACCCAGTTAGATCTGAACAAAAGATTAGTTGACTCCATAAGCAGGTGCTCACCATACTGGAGAGAACAGAGGATCCTACAGGGAACACACCAACCCCTTCACTTGCTTTTTGGGGCAATAGTTTCAAGGGCTAAAACTGAAGGCATGACCTTGTTGCTGTGACCAACTGCACTGTGAGTGGCTGCCTCTTAATTAAGACTGGAGTAGGATGAGCCCAAACCAAATTTATCCAATCTGAAAGTGTGTGTGCTTTTGCCACTATTCTTGATATCCCTTGTTACATCTTTAGAGATTCCTAAGATGTGACAAATGTGACTTAATCTTTGAACAAGAGGTTGGTACCTATTGTGTGGAGCAAATACATCTTCATCACTCATGTTGATGCTTCTGATGGCTAATCTTGGCTGACACCGTTGGGAAGAGGAAACCTTAATTGAGGAATTGCCTACTTCAGATTATCCCGTGAGCTTGCCTTTGGGGGCATTTTAAAAATTACTGATTAATGTGAGAGGTCCAAGACCACTATGGGCGGTGCCATTCCCTAGGCTGGTAGGACTGGGATGTAGAGGAAAAGTAACTGGATGTGAGCAAGACAGTGAGCCAGCAAACAGTATTCTCCCTTGGTCTCTGCTTCAAGTTCCTGCCTTGGCATCCCTCCATGAGATACTGTAAGATGAAACAGACCATCTCCTCTCTGAATTGATTTAGATGATAGGGTTTATTATAGTAATAGAAAACCAGAAACCTAGAACAGACAATCATCATTAGGGCTTAACAATCAAGAACTGGAATAGAACTCTCCAACTAACAAAGCACGCATCAGCAAATCCACGATAGGACTTTACCTGAAATGCAGGAAAATGGACCCGATCAAGGAAATGATCCTTGAAGATGATTCTAGAGTCTTGTGATTTCTTTCAGGTAGCTCATGCGATACCACACATGAAAACTCAGTATGTCTGGCCAGTCTACTAGCTTGGCTTGGCTTTGGCAGACGTATCACACTGTGCCTTTATCATCTGGCTTTGCTTTTGCTGGTGCCTTAAGCAGCCATACTACCATCCATCCGTCCTCCCTGGCATCATCACTATATTTTTTCTCTGAATTATAATGTAAATATTTTAGGAGATAGAGGTTTGCCAATAGGTTCATGACCCATGGGTTGAGAACCGCTGATCTAGAGGAAAATCTCTGTATTTGAGTAGGTAATTTGACTCATTTTCTGGTTAGGCTTTATTCTCAGCACGGGGGCATCTGGCTATTTTCCTTAGGAGGGAAGCTGGGTAAACAGCGCATGTTCCTGGTGAATGGTCACATTATCTCCCTTTACGCAGCTGCAATAAAATGCCTGACTGAAGCACTTAAGGGAGAAGGGTCTATTTTTGTTCTCAGTTTCAGAAGGGAAGCATCATGATGGGGAATGTTTAGCCCACAGGACTACGAGGCTGGCCTGGCGGTCAGCAAGTGGAGTGATTGCATTTCATCTGGACAGGGCGGTGGGGGTGGGCTGGGGAGGGGCAGCCAATGACTTACCTTCCAGCAAGGCTCCACTTTATAACAGTCCATGACACCATCCCCAGCTGGGGACCGAGGTCTCAGACACATGACCTCTGGGGCACACCTCACATTCAAATCACAAAAGTGGACAAGAGTCATAACCCACCCCCTCTTTTTTTTTTTTTTGTCAGCTTTGGTCATTCTCTGCCTTTGAAATGTTAGGATTAGGACTGTCTGGCACAGAGACATTTTGTCATGTTAGAGCTGGTGGTAACTCGTTAAGGGCGCACACTGTACACTGGCCTTGGAGGAGGAAGATGGGACTCTAACATTCACTATGACGAAACCTTTAGTGCCTGCTCTGAATAAGGAAAACTGGAGTATTTCGTTTGACTAAGCTTCAGAGTGAGTATAGGCATGCTATTGCTTGATGTGCAAAAATCTGGAAATCATGTAGCGTGTACACTTCTGATTCCTTTGGCAGTAAAGAGTGCTTGGGAACGGCAACCTGTCCCTGTTGTAGAAACTGTGCTTGTAAGGCACGATGTTGACACCTGACACCTTCCAATCTGCAGACGTCACACTTTCTCCATTCTCTGCTGGGACACGTGTGCAGCTGCCAAGAAGCTCGGGAGGGACACTTGATGCCGTTCAGTCACCCAGAAGTGGAAAGCAGCTCTCTCACTACTAGTGTGGGGACGCTGAACACGAAACTTCTAGATCCTTTACAGAATTGCAAGGTCTGTTTTTTTTTTTTTTTTTTTTTTTTTTTTTTTTTTCCAGATTGGATCCTAAACAGCATCATTTACTTGGAAAAGTAAAGAAAAAAATTGAGCTAAGTCCTTTAGGTCAATTAAAAAGTTTAAAGCAGCGTTGGGCAAAGAGCAACCTTTGTCAGACTTTGGATGATATCCTGATGGTGAGCTCAAGCTTTGAAGGATTTTGCTGTTGTCAAATTGTTTGGGGTTTTTGAAAAATTGGCAAAGGAACCCCGTGTGTCCTGAGAGAGCTGGAAACATTTTTCAATGTTCCAACTAGGTTACAAACAAAGGCCTTTTGTTGATCTAAGTAACAGGATGGGGGAGTTGCTTTTTTTTTTTTTTTAATTCTTCATTCTTTCTTTCTTAGGTAAGCCTGGCTACTGACTAATGAGGCAGGAAGACAAATAAGACTCTAAGCCATGACTGCTTGAAGTGGTGTTTTATTTAGTTGCCACCAATGGACTCCCTAAGGCTTGGCATAGAGTGTGGTCATTTCTCTCCATCACAAGCCAAGAGTGTTCAGTATGAGAACGCTCTTGATAATCCTATTCTGTTTAGAAATTGTGGCTCATGGGAATAGCCTTGACTGTGGAGCATATGCTGTTCATGTTCTTCAGGCATGTCTCAGAAGTATGATAGGTCCAAGCACAGAAATAAATCTTAATAGTTACTTAGCTGATGTTATAGAAAACTGGGAAATACTTGCTGTTTTTTTCATATCCCACATTTAAAGGTATTCTTGGTCATTTGAAATTGTTTCTCGTGCAGGCAGGAGACCCATCAGTTGGGGAGTTCTCACCTCACCAACTATTGTTCTGGGGCTTGAGATCGAATGGAATATTGAATATGCTGTCCCAGGATTCTGTGAATCCAGCACATAAGATTGAAGAGTTCTGTTCTCCTCAACCCTCAGGATTCGTGTAGACTCCACTTCGAATGTGCTTTCTATATGGAGGAGGGTCTTAACTGCACATCATGCCTGCCCCAGACTCGTTGCTACGCCTTCTCCTCTTTGTCTCTTTCGCTCTTCACCATTTCGCAAGTGACTCCTTTACCAAATTAATTCTTATAATCCTGCTCCTTCTTAGGATGAATTTATAACCCACTAAGAAGTGGGTTCTGTTCATCGGATGGGTGTCTGTGGGAGCAGAAGATGAGGAAGATGTAGGTAGCAATGGGGCAGTGTATGGAGATGTCTCACCAAGAGCACCAGAAGGAGAAATGACAAGAGAAGGTTAAAGAGATGGACAAAAGAAGCTGGCAGGAGACAGAGCGACAGGCTGCACAAATTCTTTTTTTTAATTTTTAAGACAGGGTTTTACTATGTTGGTTTGGCTGTCCTGTAACTCACTATGTTATACCAGACTGTACTCAGAGAGATTTGCCTACCTCTGCCTCCTGAGTGCTGGGATTAAAGGTGTGTACCACCACATACAGCAGACTTCATCACTTCTTATGGTTCCCAGTGATGAGATTTATTCTCAACTCTCATTTGGAAGTAAATAATTTTGTTATTAAGTTTCTGCATGTACTCATAGGCACACAGGTGGATAGCATTAACAACTTTCAAAAATCCCCTATTGAGGTCACATAATCTCAAGAAGCAAAGAATCATTGAACGGTCTCTCTCAAAAGTGAAGTTCAACCAATAAAACATGTATATATGTGAACACATGTTCATGTGGGTACAGAGACATGTGGAAAAGAGAACAAGGAAGGATAAACATTAGGGGATGAAGGCAACGAAGATGAGTTATGGAAGATGATATAAAGCTAGTTGCTTTTCTAATTCCAATTCTGTCATGAACTTTTCAGTTTTGGTAGCGGATAAGTGCATAAAAACCCTGTCTCATAAAACCAAAACCAAAACCCAAACAAAACAAAAAACATATTTGATGTTAAAAATGTCAAATCCAAATCCAATGTGAAGTTATACAGATTCCATCCTGAATGGCTACTCCAGTTGTTCAGAAGTTCACTGAGATGATTTGGGTCATTGGGCATTGTGTGGTAGCCCACAAGCGACTCAGTTTCCATCTGGAGTCCATTATGGCTCAACAATCATTTAAGTTCAAGCTTGCCTGCTCTGCTCGCTCCAGTATCCTTGAGGGCTGGGAGAAAGTTCTGATTAAGCCATGGGAAAGAGCATTGCCCATGAGAAAAGAATTCTATCTAGTAGAAAGAATACCGCTGATGCCAAAGCTTAGGAACATCGAGGTAGAAACTAAAACTGCTTGTGGGCAGCAAGTGCTTGATAGTCAGGAAACTGCTCACTCAAGGACAGGAATGATCTTGTGCTAGATACTGACTGGCCGTCTGTGCTTTGTTCTGCTTTCTTTTCTTTTTCTTTTTTGTATATAAGGATCTGAAATAAACTCAGGGCAGTGCAGAGCAAGCTGGCGGTCCCCCAGACCTATCCTGTGTTTTCCATCTCAACTTCTTTCAATCTGTCATTTCCTTAATCTTCACACCCTTACCCAGGTACGCCCAGCTGATTCTGTTGGAGCAGGCTCCTACAGTCCGGTTAGATTTAGAGTGCTGATGTTTCATTGGTTTCAATGTAAACAAATAGCCTTTAAAACTTGTCTACGTTCATGGATTCCTAAATTCTTCCTTTGTATCTTTGACTTCTCTTATCATAAGTAAACTGCCCCAACCCATGACGTGTGACAGCTGAGATCAAATGTTGTGGATTGATTCCCTCATGCAATGGCTTTGTGTAGTTACCAAAACACTTTATCTTAACCCAGTATTGTTCCATTATTTCCTCTGCTGGCATTCTTAACTACAATTGGAGAGAATATAGATAGTAAATCTCAAACAAATAGCAGTGGAACTGGTAGGTATGTGAGGTAATGACTATATTAATAAGTTTGAGCCAGTCATTCCACAAAAGTATGTATTTCAAAATAGCATGCTACATTTTTACTTTGTTAACTTGGTATTTGCACGAGTATAGTCCCACACATGCCAAGGCAGGCATGCATGCATGTGTGTGTGTGTGTGTGAGAGAGAGAGAGAGAGAGAGAGAGAGAGAGAGACAGAGAGAGAGAGACAGAGAGAGAGAGACAGAGAGAGAGAGAGAGACNGAGAGAGAGAGAGAGAGAGAGAGAGAGAGAGAGAGAGAGAGAGAGAGAGAGAGAGAGAGAGAGAGAAGGAGAAGAAGGGATAACTCTAATCGTTAGTTCTCTCTTCTCTCCTACTGTGTGGTTCCTGGGAACCAAACTCAGGTCATCAGACTTGGTGGCAATCCTCTTCATTCTAAACCTCCTTACAGTCCAATATCTACAATACTTATTTCTCAATTTTAGATAATCTGAACAATTAGGAAGAAAAAAAAACCCACACGGTATCATCTTTGCTAACTGATCTTAAACAGTGGCATGGACTTGCCAAGTGTTCTGAATCTGATATTTAGAATATTTTATAATGAAATTGTTGTTTCCTCCAAGCACATCACAATTGCTGTGTTTACTATGGTTACTGAGGCATGATAACAGCAAAACGATGTCATCAACAATGAACGTCTTTGTTTTTGCTAGGAAAGAACTCATGCTTTACAAATTGAAACATCTGTGCCACCTCTGGGAACCCCAGGGAACGGAGGAGTTGTAAAATGAGCCATAGACAAGCATGGCTGTTGCTGAGCTCATGAGGCATGGAGTGAACGCCAATGAGAAGTTTCCTCCATTTACTCATTTTACCAAAAGCTGTCTGTATTAGCAGGGAATCAAACTCTCCATATAGAAAAAGACTAAGACATATATGTAGTTGTATTTAGTTCTTCTAATCTTCATAATGGTATGGGAGGTCCTTCTGTCTGTGTGTTGCTTTTCTTGGTTAAGAATAAAGAAACTGCCTTGGCCTGTTTTTAGGGCAAAACTTAGGCAGGTGGGGAAGATGGAACTGAATGCTGTTAGGGAGAAGGCAGAGTCAGAGAGAAGCCATGGAGAAGCCAGAGTCAGACACGCCTAATCCTTGCTGGCAGGCCACTACCACATGGCAACATATAGATTAATAGAAATGGGTTAAATTAGTATAAGAGTTAGCCAATAAGAAATTAGAGCTAATGGGCCAAGCAGTGTTTTCATTAATATAGTTTCTGTGTGGTTATTTTGGTTCTGGGCGACTGGGATGAACAAGCGTCTCCTCCTACAAATTGGTGCCTACGTGGCCAACTAAATCCATGTAAAACCTGAGAGGCCTTGAAAAGGAATTCTAGCAAAAATATACAAAGTTTAACACACCTTCTTGCTCTTTGCTGGTGGTATGCAATAGCTCCTTTAAGAGAGGTTTTCCTGACTCAGCAGCAGCAGCAGCAGCAAAAAAGCCATAACGCACGCTTGAAATGCAGGCTTTCTCGGGACGTGCTGCCAGTACAACCTCTGACTCTTTTGGGAGACCAAGTATTTGGATGAGATTTGTGAGAAGCATGTGATCGCTTACTTATGATGGCAATGTGGACCAGCTGTGTGGCTGGAAGTGGGGCTGTGTGTGTGGCTCTCGGAAGCAGCTAGCAGCTCCACCATATTACAGTGGGCATGGCAAGCAGGCAGTACCTTTTGTAGCCTAGTAATCTTGCCCCTAAGATTATTAAGCACTTAGCATTTTAAGAAGCACTTTTAGTCAGAAAATAATTACAGATATGCAATAAAGACAAATCCAGATGAGCCAGTGTTAGATAAACGTATGTAGGCTTGGAAGAGAGAAGAAAAAGAGCATAGAGAGTCGTAAAATAAAGTTAATACTTTAAAAAAAAAGGGTAAAGTCTTTAAAGAGACAGAGTACAGATAGTCATAGATTAAAAGGAGTAAAAGAAAATAAGCCACATAAAAATGGAAAATTCACAGAGAGTCTGGATTATGTATATTATTGTGTTATCTTTGAATTTTTTGACTGTGAATGAGCAAAGTACAGAGAGACATTTCATTGTATGGACTACTAAGTTAAACCAACATAAAGATATCTTGATTCCAAAATTTGAGCCTAAGGATATGTTGCTTTGGAAAAGAAGTTCTTCTTTTGTTTCCACAGAAGATGAGAACCTGTGGATTGCTTCCAGACCAATATGGTTTGATGGACCAAGATGTCCTGAAAGGTTTCCTTGAACACCCCTCAAAAATACACCCCTTGAAAAATTACTTCACCCAATAAACAGCAGGAAGTTTGGACAGAACTGCGCCCATATTCCAAATATTGTTTGTAAATGTTTTCTTACATTTAAAGGGGGATATAATATGATATGAATAATTTGCATTGAATCTTGGTTTGTTAATACAAATTTAAGGTCAATTTGGTTTTATGTATATGTATTTCTGATCTTGATTAAGGTATAGTGTTTGTGTAGCTCATTTAAAAATGTAATGTATAATTAATAAATATAAGTTAATAGACTATCATCTATAATAGTCAAGCTTGTAGTAATGTTAGATTTTCTAAATGCACAGAGATGTATTTCAGATAGGTAGGTATTCTTCAAATCTTTCAGAGACCTTCAGAATATGGCATTTAAAATGTTTAAAAACTTAGGACTTTTCATGACATGAGACACATATGCTCCTGGCAGCACCAATCTACTCCAAGAGGAAGATGGGCATCAAAGAGGCTCTTTATGGAGATTTTTAGATGAACTAGACATGTAGGATCCACAGAGAAATGACTGCTGAGCTTGCCTAAAGGTGAGATGATCCTTTGGGGTTCCTGCTTCATGAAAGAGTCTGAAAGACATTCTGTAGGACACAGAAGAAAGTGACTGGAAAACTGCAAATATAGGCAGATTTATGTCTTTGAAATTTCCTGCTTCATGGAAAAGTCTGTTGGATACTATGGGCCTGTAGGCTGAATATGGATGCTCCAATGGTACAAAAGAACTTTGGGTGGCTGTCCGGGCAGTCTCTGTTGTAGGGTTAAGCCAGCCCCTTGGGGCGGGCTTGTCTCGGGTGAGCGTTTACTTATAAATTGGGCGCGGAAGTCCGCGAGGCCCTTCCTGCTTCCTGTCCTCCGCTGGAACCTGGGTTTTGTGAGTCTGATTTTCCCATTAAAGCTGTGTATATATTTCTTACAATTTGTCTGCATTAATCTACGCCGCTACACTCTGTCAATTCTAGAGTTTTGAAAGTTGCTTACAATGTACTTCTTGTTTACTTAGGTGATACTATATCCTTCTGGAGTCTTTGATGGAGTTGAAGAATTTATATTATAGTTTTATTTAGTTATGATAAAAGTTAAAGTAAATATAAATTTTGTAACTGTAATTCCTGCTAGAATTTTACTATGTTAAAGTCTTCCTTTTTGTTTAAACAGAAAAGGGAAATGGTGTAGGAGGTCCTTCTGTCTGTGTTTTGCTTTTCTTGGTTAATGAATAAAGAAACTGCCTTGGCCTTTTGACAGGGCAGAACTTAGGTAAGTGGGGAAGATAGAACTGAATGCTGGGAGGAAGAAGACAGAGTCAGAGAGATGCCATAGAGCTGCCAGAGTCAGACATGCCTAGTCTTTGCCAGTAAGCCACTGCCACATGGCAATATACACATTAATAGAAATGGGTTAAATTAATATGAGTTAGCCAATAAGAAGCTAGAGCTAATGGGCCAAGCAGTGTTTTAATTAATATAGTTTTTGTGTGGTTATTTTGGTTCTGGGTGGCTGGGACAAACAAGTGGCTCACTCCTCCAACATCATAATACTTTGGTTACTCTCTCAGCTCCTAAACAGAGGCTCTGATACCTCCTTTTAAAGTCTTTGCTGTTTTGAGGTTTCAGTGAGCTAGAGCCTGGGAACTGTGTCAGCAACTTATTCCAGTGTATTTAATCTATCTTATTTTCTTTATAATCCCTCGAAATTTGAAATGAAGGAAAAATATTTTCAGGTTAAAGATTAAACTTGAATATTTTATGAAATGATTTGGTCCTTCACAAAGTTGGGTCCCATGAAATCTTGTTGAGACGATCTCTTCAGACCATATCATATCATACTATACCATACCATATCATATCATATTATATCACATCATGGTGGGAAAGGAGGCAGCATGTAGCTATCACAGCTGAGCATACATGTATGTTATAGGTATTATATATATGTTTATATATATATTAACATTTTAAAATTCTGGCAAGTACATATAAAATTTATCATTTTAAAAAAATTTCTAAAAGCAGTTTAGTGGCTTTGGTTACCTACATTTTGGGGCAGCTGTCACCACCATCCATCTCTAGGACTCCCTTTAACTCAGAGAACTGAACCTCTGCACTTATTATAGATCAATTCTTCTCTACATTCTTCGGCCCTTTCTTGAATTCCAGGGGATTTAGAATCTAAGACTGGTTTCTTCAGAGCTTTGTGATGAAGAGGGAATCTGATAGTTCTGTCATCCTCTGCTTCCATCTCACATTCTGCTCACCTACTCAGTTGTTGTGAGAGTCAATACGATGTCTCTTGGAGCACAGAATATCTTTAGGAGCATCGAACAGGATACTGCTGGGTACATTGTTTGACATGGACAAAACAGATGGCTCGCCTAGCAGAACTGAAATGCTTCACTGTTAGGCAGACTCCAAGGGTGTGGGGCAGATTCCAAACACTGAGATGTACAGAACAGGCATTCAGTGCTCACTGTTCAGGCATGTTTACAACAGTGTTTACCAAGCTTAGTAACTTAATGGAGCTCAGATAACAAGTGATGAACTTAGCTAGGGTTAAAACCCAGATTAACCCAACATCAAAGCACTCCTTTTCTATTTCTCCTTCTGCCTCTGAACTCATCAGACAGACTGGGGTAGAAACCCACTCTCTTCGATTTCTTCACAATTCAACCAAGAAGGAAGCTATAGATATTCAGTGCAAATCATTGACAAGATCAGAAGGGCGTACAGTTAGAGATTCCATTAACCGCTACTAGCAAGTACGTCACTGAAGGGAGGGTACTTTCTGTGTTTGGGTTTGATTTTTGTATTTTTTGTGACCCATTGACTTTAATAACTGTTCTTTGCCTAAGCATGGGCAGGGAGTTATTTACTGTAGTAAGGCCAAGTTACCAGTGGCTATGCCCACTGGGAATAAAAATAACCCCCCTCCTCTCCACCAGAAGCCATTACCTACAATCTAGTCCCATGAGTGCCTCTTTAATCCATGATGGACTGTTACTTGCCCCATTTGTCAGCTCTTGTCTGTAGCATATTTTAACTCCATTTTCTTATTTCTTTAGTCTATAGAACATGAGAAACGCCACCACCCCTTTGTCTGTGCCATTTCTCTCTGCACTGTGATCCACATACTCTCACCGCAAAATAAAATATTTTTGCTGTTCCTGTTTCTTTTCTGTCTTTTTGAGACAAGATCTCACTACTCATTGTGCCTGGCCTTGAACTTGATCCATAGCCCTCCCTGGCTTCTAACTTCTGTTTTTTTCCTGTCTCAGACTCCCATCTGCTGGAATTACAGGCAGGGCGCCACTGTGCCATACAAAGCAAAACATTCTTAATGTTAGTTTTAAAGGAAGATAGCATGATGTCTTGCTCAGCTGATCTCTTTAGTGAGAATGACGTCAACTTGATCTTGATAATTTCCATCTCGCCAAATTGGCTGGGGATGTGAGTTGATTTATTATTTATGTGCGGCACTCAAGAAGAAAAATATTACTGGGGGAGCTTGGGTTTCTCTGATGTTAATTTGAAAATTTTCAACAGCTGCAGGGAATCAACAACTTAATAAGAAACAGCACTGATATCTAATCTATTGAGAGTGACCGCAACTGTAAGTTCCCACATTAATAAAGAGACGAAGAAAATATTAACTCAAGCAACATGATTCAAGGCAAACACCAGCCTCCTCCTCTCTTTCAAGTTGGTCCAGAAAAATCAGGGCTCAGTCCCAAGATGATAGTTGCTTACTATTGTCATTTAGGAGTTAGGGGCTAAGTAGTTCATGACTTTCTTGCGGGAAAGAAATAATATTTAACCATAATTGACTTCTGAGTCCAACAAGAAAGTGATAAAATTACTATTTTTTCACATTTCTCTTCCTTCATGAATTACAATCCATATTACGAGTTGAAGGAGCAATAAGTGTCTTCTATGAACAAAGTACAAGGGAGTATTAGCCTGGAGATCCGAGAGAGAGAGAGAGAGAGAGAGAGAGAGAGAGAGAGAGAGAGAGAGAGAGAGAGAATAAACTAAGGAGAAACTTAGTCAGATTAGAATCCATCATTTCACCACAACCGAAGTAACCACACATTGTTGGAGCTAGTAGGTGACTTTGCAAACCCAGAGAGAAAATGCAATGGCAGTACACTACTTTACCTGAGCCTAAAACCATGTCTTGATACTTTTATCCTGAGCTATTTCTCCTCAAAAATTTTGGAAAGCTTTTATATGAATTTTTAAAATTTAGATCAAGAACTATAATATCACATTTAATTATATATATATATGTATATATATGTATCTGTGTGCGTGTTTGCTTTTGTTCAGGAGTGGGTGGACACACAGTTATGTTCTTGTGTTTTGTTCTTTGGCACACCATCACCTTGTTGTTTATTTATTTAGCCTTAAGACAGGTCTCTTCATTATCCTATAACTCACCTATTTGCCTCGGCTGACTGGTCACCGAGTCCCAAAGATTGACTCCACTTCCCTGTTGCTGGGGTTATGAATACATACCATGACGCCCAGTTTTCTTACATGGGTTTAGGGGCTAAAAACTCAGGTCCTCTTGCTTGTGTAGCAAGCACTTTATTAGCCAAGCTATTTATCCATCCATTTAATAACATATATTAATGTCCATACTTCCCTCTGATATCATGGCCAGCTAGGAGATAAAGATAATAGCAGCCATTGTGGAGCAAATTCCCCGGAAGTGCTCTTAACTCCCTTTTCTTTGATTCTCTAATACACGATTCACATTCAGGGACTTATAATATTTTATTGGAATCACCCAATTTATTTCTCTCTCTTCTGTTCAGTTGTGTTTCTTCAACGTAGAAAATACATCCATCTTTGTGTGCTTAGAATATGCCATATAGTAACGATGCAATAAAGCTTTAGTTAGTGAATGAAATATGTGGTCTAGTCAATGGAGAGGTGTAAACAGTGACATACACATATACTATTCTAAAATGAAATAGTCAAAATTTTGTGGAATAAGAATCTCATTGAAAAATTATTTCATGTGTTATAGTTAACTTTTAAAATACTGCTACAGTTTTAAGATTAGGCATAATTGAAAGCTGGGGAATTTGGCTTATGAATAAAACACCTGCATGCCATATGCAAGTCCTTGGGTTTGATGCACACACACACACACACACACACACACACCCCACAGAATCCCCACACACAGAGGCATAACCAACATTTGCATATGGGGCAAGAACCAAGATTGCCTTGTACAGCATAGCTTCCCACTCTCGGATCTGCTAAGACCCTCCTAAAACCTGCAGCATTGCCTGGGATCTCAGCCCTCCCTCACCGCAGTGCACACCAAGGATGCCAAATGACTGTACCCTGCTGCCGTTCTGTGCCTGCTTATTATGCAGGTACCGCAATGAACTCATTCACCATATGGCGAGTTAACAATTTGTGCATGTTTTCGAATAACCGCAATTATCTGGGACAATTGAAATGAAATGGAAATGAACATTTTAAATAGCCGAGCACCAATTTCTTCAAAGAAGCTCTTTTCTGGTTTGCATTTATTTTTTTGCTTTAAATGCTTCTTAACTTTGGACTCACTAATAATGGTCAGATGAAGCTCCAGGAGGCAAAATTTTGGTATTTATGTAATTAATTTTTAAAAAGTAAAGAAACCAAAGCCCTCCCAGCAGATGTGAGAAAACCTGACCTGTGCCTTTGCTGACTGGTAGAATGAGAATTTTGGAATTGTGTGCGAAATTGCTGTCATAAGAATATTCCAACAGGAAGAAAATAATCATTTTCATTTTATTTTCCAGTTATTCAAGAACTTCTAGAAAGGTTCAAACGCTTAGCAATGGCTTGGCGGTTTGTCAGTTGCTTTTCCATTGTGTGGATCCCTGAGTTGAGGGACTTTGTGGTCTGAAATGTTAGTCTCCTGTCTCGTGTAAGGTTACTGAGCTCTTCCTCCTTTACCTAAATCAGCCAGAAAAACCAAAAACAAAACCAAACAACAGATTCAAGGAGAAACTTGCAAGGACATTTCCTCCATAGATCCAGACTCTACCTGTGCATTTTGCCACACCCCCTGGAGTTCCTTCTTAAGATTATGTTAATCATTTAAAATTATTTAAATGTCTGCCTTACTCTAATTGCCCAGGCAGTGTGTGACAAGTGGAATATACGTAGTCTTGATTGAGTATGATGCTCTAAGTCAATCTCATTTTGAGCATTATTCAGCCCATATAATAGTTCTTTGTTGATAATTCTGCTGTCAGCTAATTAATTAGTTCATTTTCTTTGCAGGAGAATGGTATTGGAGTAAAAGAGTAAAATTCTTCATAAAGTAGGTAGTTTTTAAAATTTCATTTTTATTATATACATACACAAAAAAGAACCTGTGCACACACAAACGTGTATGCCCTATCCCCCCCTCCCCCACACACACATACACATAATAAAAGGGCAGGGAACATGACTTAGTCAGTAAAGTCAGCATGAGAATTTGTGTTCAGATCCATAGCAGCCATATTAAAGAAACTGGGTTGGTGGAGAGCACCTGTATTCTAGTGTGTGCTAGCGGTACTGGGTGGAGGCAAGGGAAGGACTGAGGCTTCCCCGCCAGTTGGTTTAGCCCAATAGGTGAGCTTCAAGTTCAGTGATAGACCTCAAGAAAAACAAAATGGGGACCAACTGAGGACGATAATCATGCCGGCCTTTGGCCTCCACTTGCAAGCTCTCACACTTGCGGATTCAGCTGCACAGAAAAACATGTATACCCACTGGAATGGTTTTATTTATTTTCTCTATTCTTTTCGCTCTCTATATTTATATTTTACATAAATAAGAACATATTATACATACAATCATATGTACACATATATACATATTTACTTGTGTAATATAAGATGCTACTTTCACGAATTAAGATCAAGCGTCCCTGGTCTTCCCCTTTTTGAATCATAATCGAGATTATTTGGAAAGCAAAGACGTGTTAAGATGGACTTCCACTATGCGAAGCCCTTGAATGTTCGTCTTTACATACCTCTCTTTAACCGGCCTTCCCAAAAGTTCTCACCTAAAATAATTCAGAATCTTCCATACAAGTGAAGATACAGTGAGCCATCGGCAACCTCTGACTGCTGGATCTCTGAAGGCAACTTGTTTCTTCAAACTCTGTTTTTCTCTGACTCTGGAGCCTTAAGTAGACAGCTTCACGCTCCTACCTCCTTAGCATAACCATCACTAGTAAAATAAGCTCACAGGCTTCAGCTCTGAACATGAGATTAAAAATTGTCTTTTCTTGGGTCACAGGCTCACTGTCTGGGCTCCCCAGGATTCTATTGGACTTGACAGCGCTGTGGGAGACCGGGTTCCCTTGAGAAAAAAAAAATGTGTTTAAGGAATAAAAAAGAGAGAGGTGCTGAGAAAAAGCAAGAGTTGCCTGTCCCATACATCACGCTGGGGAAAATGCTTTACCACTTCAAAGGGGGAAAAAGTAGGAACTGTTTAAATATTTATAATCCAAACACCAAGATGCGTTCACTGTTGTACTGGTTTAGAGTCTGCCTTGCGTCATGGCTTCCTCATAACAAGCTTCATTGGGGAGATCTTTGGGTGGGGTGCAAGATTGCACGATTCTTATTTTCCTTCTCTTTATTCTCTGAAGATTCTGCATAAAGACTTTACTGAGTAATTAGGGTAACAGTGAAAACACTGTTTGGCTTTATTATTCTCCTGCTCAATTAAAATCTTGAGTATACTTGGGAGAGCTTCTCCAGGGCCTCCCAGGACAGGGGCCTGAAAACTGTTCATCCCAGGCCAAAGTTCCTACAATAAGCAAAAGGAGAAACTGCTGTTTGTTTTAGTTGCCTTTTCTATGGTGGTTTATGTAAGAGCCCAGCATTTATCAAAACTTTCAGTTCCTTAGACCTGGGGGTTTCCACTCCTGATTTGTAACAACCACAAGATAAAGTGTGTGTGGTTTCTCATGGCCTCAACTCCAAAGTCCCAAACAAGGGTGCTATGAATATTTTATCTCATTTGTCTCTAATATTGGTTCTGCTTGTGACACTTCAGGTTTCTCTCTGGACTTTGAAAGTATCATTTGGCCAATTAAACAAGTTGCAAAATATTTTTTATTGGAGCAAATATTTGATGTTTGGAAAAAATCCTTTTGGATATGACCAGTTTAGATTTGAGGAAAAAGGCGAGGGAAGCCCCCAGAGTATGACTCGAAGGGAACCTGGGGACCAACAGAAGTGTTGGTGATTCCGGAGACTGCCAACTTGAAGGAAGCCACTGGGGATGAGAAGAAGATGGGTCACCAGCCAGGCCAATGTACAGGAAGAAGTTTGAAGTGCTGGGGTGCTTCAAAAGTAGCCATCAAATTGATCAAAGCCATTACAAGTAGATATAGCCAGCTAATTTCCAATCAGTCAGCTCATGGATGTGGGCTATCCTGGGGAAACACAAAAGATTATTAAATTAGTAGAGTCTCTGCACAAAGAGACTCTACTAATCTAGTGGCTTTGTTTTGGTCTAGAATGTTTTATTCAGGTATACAAAAAAAATCTTGCACAAAGCCTGACTATTTCAAATATTTAAGACATATAATAATTGGTGAGTATCAAGACATGCAATGCATAAGGATCTCTAATAATCAGTCTCCCACGTGTTGGGAGCTGTGAACCTCGGGATCTTGAATTTCTGGTAAACAACTTGCAATGCTTGCAGCTGCTCTGAGCATGAGATCCTCAGAAGTTCCTGATGGCAGGAGAGTGGTTTCTGGTGGGTTTGGCTGGGGCGTGGCTATCCCTATATAAGCTGCCCCTGAACACAATAAAGGGAGCATTCTTGGGTTGTTCTTGTTTCAAGTTTTTGACCTGTGTCTCTGTCTGTGTGTCTTTGTGTGTTTAAATCTCCAGGCTCTTGCCCGAGGCTCACAAATGGTCTCGCAGTGCAGGAGCCGCAACACAGGAGTAGTATCATACTGTCCCGTAGTAGGGACACTGCACCCTGTGCTATCCCCAAGGGGTGAAACAAAAAACACTGTAACAAACCTGATGTGCTCTTTGTTATCGAGAGATCGACTCCTCTGACAAACCCTTCCAGAGCTACTCTTGCTGACGAATTAGGTATTTATGACAAGTAACCAGGCTAGCTCTAGAGTAACAGGAATACTTTAATGGTTAAAGAGGGGAAACTTACACTATAAGAATGGGAGTTCCGAAATCCGATAGTTCCGGCGGGGGGGGGGGAGAGNGGGAGGGAGGGAGGGAGGGAGGGAGGGAGAAGAAGGGAGGGAGGGAGGGAGCACACTTGCATCTCTGGTTTTTCTACCTGGGCTCCAGGTGGCCACACCCCAACCAGACGTGATTGGTTGAGCTTCCCCATCATACTCTTACCCAGATGTTCTCTCCTGAGAAGTTGTCTTTTAAGGGACTGTCTCTCTTTCACTATGAAGTCATCTTTCTCATTCTCTGAAGTTTTCTGTGCTCTAAACAAGGGCCTTTCCTCCACCCCGAACTATCATGCAGGCCTCTTTTCTTGTTTGGTAGTTTTAAATTTTATTTTATTTAAATAATGTTTTCTAATTTATTATACATACCAACCATTTCCCATTCCCCCTCCCTCCTTTCCTCCATCTACCCCGTTCCCCATCCATCCACTCCTCTCCATTTCTGTTCAGAAAGGGACAGGCCTCCCATGGACTTGCGCAAAGCATGGTGTGTATCAAGTTGAGGCAGGACCAAGATTCTCCCCTTATGTTGAGATGGGGGCCAAAAGCAAGCTTTTTTAAATTGAAGACAATCTTTGAGTACTACCATTGAGCAGTGCATACATTTGAAGGCTTGTAGAAGGCATAGTAGGTTGTCCACTATAGAAACCAAATGTTCCTTCTTGCACTCCCCTGGGAACTCAGCCCTGATGTTCCTGCTTAAGCCTTTGGACCTAGGGATGGCCATAGAAGACAAATGGAAAGAAGAGACAAATTGATTCAGCAGGGCTGACCAACCATACTGAGAATTCGGTGGCTGTGACTGGTGCTGTTGTCATCCATGATTTTGTCACAGTGGTGGTGACATTGTGACCCTCAAATTGTCTATGAGGGCAGCCTTAGTCTACTACTACCTCTCTTCTCGTTTCCAAGACTGATTCTTTAGCTTTTGTAGAATTTCTATGAACTCCCCTTTATATATAGGTGTTCTATGAACACCTCTCTATATAGATGTGACTTCTACGATTTCCATAAATATGTTTAAAGTGTCAATAGAGCAGTCCTAGGAGGCATTGTTTTGTGAGTGGAGACCCCCCTGAAATGCTCGTAGCACAAATGTATGTATGTGAAAATTCATGGGTCATTATATGGAGGTACTGATTCATCTCATCAAAAAACTGGAAGAGAGAAAAGATATCAACTATAATTGGGTAAATTAGTTTGATCCAGGTCCCTTTTCTAGGAATAGCACTGTTTTAATTAAAAGCCAGTCAGGGAGGCAGAGGGGCCATAGGCACCCACTGATCCTTGCTGTGTCCGTCTTCCATGAGGAGACGATTAGTTTAAACACTTCTGTGCCTTTCTCTTTAATGAGGGTACATTTTTACTCTGCATATGGCTACAGTTTTCTCCCCATGGAATGAGAACCTTGTCTCGCCTTGTTCCATATCTGCAGGAGACATATGCCTTGTGGTGCCTGGCCTTCACTACCCTGTCTTTAAGCTCCCGATGCTAATGCAACCTGGTTTATGTGTTTCTTTCACTTGTCTACAAGTGTGCCTGAACCACATGGAAACCATGGCTGAGTTACAGTGGCTTTCTGGGTAGGTAGGACAGGCATAAAGGTTGAGATTGTCTCCTTACAAGTTCCCCCAGCATTTTTTCACTTTGAAGAGAGATTATATTCCAGACACTTCAGCATGCAAGGCCTTCTCCAACGTGCTGCCTGGCCTATGTGAAAGCTGAGAAAGGGTTCTGCTCTCAGGTCCCTCAACTTGCATATTTTCCAGCTGTGATGGATGCAGCCCATGAATCCACAGGTTTGTGAACTGGACTTTGAGCTCTGTTTGCTCTAAGACTGTAATATTTGATAGGAACAATGCCAGGGAGGACGTGTTTATTTTGACACATGGGTTTGGAGCAGAGTTCAGTCCATCGTGGTGGGGAAGGCAAGATGGCAGAGAAAGGCTGTACCAGACTCTACTTACACATGTGGACAGAAAACAGTCTAAGACCACGGATAACTAATGGCTCACCCATGGTAACATGCATCCACTGAGAAGACCACACTTCTTAAACGTGCCACACAGACTTCAAAATATCAGCCCTGGGAGGCCATTTAAGAGTCAAACATAATCACAGTTTTGCATGGGAGGAATTATGGTTTCTCTGTCTTTCTATGACCTCTCAACGTCTAGACTCTATTAGATTTCCACCTCCTTTCCTCACTGGCCTGCTGAGTCCCCTACCTCCAGTGGCCGAGCTGTGGGGCTTTGCTGCCAGCTCCAGACTGAGTGTTAAGGCTCTTTCCTATGTAAGGCTCCCAGAAGGCTCTGCTTTTAGAGAAGCCTTCTTCATGATTGTTCTAGGAAACAAGACAAATGGATTTAAGGGTCTCATGGGCAAGCATGCCTAGTCTTTTTTTCTAATAGAAAAATTAAGCTTGTCTTGATACAATGCCAGCGTTATAGAGCTATTTTCTTACCCATCTACAAAGAGTGTTCTTCATTTCCTTCCTGGGTTGCGGGATCTTCCTCCCAGATGCAGTCTTCCGTCCCAGGGGTCTTCAGCAGCTGCAGCACCTTCAAGTGCTCATTGATTGCGAAATGTGCTGGACAGATGAGCTTAATTCCTTAGCGATACCGCGTTAGCCACTTCTGATGCTGAGAAACTGTAGCATTCTCTTTCCAAACCATTTGTGGAAATGGAATAATAACTTTCCATGTGCCTAATTTCTTACTCATCATTTTTCCCTCTCATTATGTGCTTCCCACATATAATTGCGTTTTTTTTTTCTGTTCTTTTACCCCTATACAAATGTAGTCATGTTTTTAATATTTGGTATAAGCCAGCTTAGCTCCTTTATTGCCATACAAGAAGGCATACATGAAAAAAAAAAACGAGAATGTTAGGGGGCTGGGAATATGGTTTAATGAGGAAAAAGCCTGCCTTGCGAACACAAGGATTTGTGTTTAGATTCCCAGTGCCCATTTAAAAAGCCTGGTGTGGTTGTGTGCCTCTGTAACCTGCAGTGCTGGGGAGCAGAGCTCATTGGCTGCCAGCCCCAGCTGAATCAATGAACTTTAGGATAAATGACAGAAAACGTCTCAAAAATTAAGCCAAGAATGGTCAAGGAAGAACCCTGGACCTCAACCTCGGCTATCAACATGCATTCAGAAATGCACATACCCCCAGAGATATGCCTACTTCACAAACATGGACACATACACAAAACAAACACACAGGCACACACACCAGAATGTTATGTTATAGTTCTATAACTTTTTCTTAAAAATAGTGGCATGCTTAATCTAAGAGAGAGGTTTTTATATGGGGCAACACGCAGCTACTAAATAATTCCCATGCTTTCTGCATTTGTCCTTGCCAACATTTCAAGAGAACAAACAACTGAGAAAAAGCAACAAAAAAAAAAAAAAAACAAAACAAAACAACAAACCTTTGACCTCAATTTCTCCGTCTTTTGAAAACCTAGGTCCCTTTAAATGATGAAAGTACTCTTGTCCTACTATTGATATTATGGAAAATGTGTAATAAAACTTTCACAAATTCAAGGCAATTTGGTCTATCAGTTTAAGAGGTTGGGGCCTGTGGTGGTTTCAATGACACTGGCCTGTACAGGCTCATATGTTCCAATGTTGGTTCCTACTTGGTGGAATTGTTTGGGAAGGATCAAGAAGTATGACCGTATTGGAGAAGGTATCCACTGGGTGTGGGGTTTCAAAAGACTCATGCCATTCCAAGTGTGCTCTCTGTTTCATTTTGTGGGTCCAAATGTGAGTTCTCAGCTCCTGCTCCAGTGTCATGCCTGCCATACCTGCTGCCATGCTTCCTGCCTGATGATGATGGACATCTCACCCTATGGAACTGTAACCCAGACAAAGCCTTCCTTCTGTTGCGTTGTCATGGTGTTCTATCTCAGCAACAGAAAATGACTTAGACAGAGCCCCAGTGTGTGTGGGGGGATGATAGTGCTCCAGCACCCATTGAGATATTTTACTATATTAACATAACTTGTTGCCCTCAGATAAAGTTGGTAATAGAACTTAAATACCATTTGTTTGGTTGGAGCCTCCAGCTCACCCCTGCATGATCTGGAAAGTCCCGTTCCTGTCTCTTCTTTCTTTCTTCCCAAACCCCACTCACTCAGAGTCTGACGAAAAGCCCAGTTCTGCATTCTTGATGGCTATTACACCCTCCTCTGAGGTTGCCAACCACCCAAGTCCCTGCTTACTCGGCTTTTGACCATACTTGGGCACCAACCCAGTTTGCGGTGGACACATCATCACCCCTCACCTACAACCTATAAAATCTCCCTGCTTTAGTTTGGGGGTGCAGCTTCTTTGACTTCAGTCTCTGAAACCCGAGAACCAGTCAGGGGGAGCTGCTTTGCTTAATACACCTGTTCTTATACTGCTTCAGTTCGGCTCGATCTGGCTTACTGCATTAGTGGAGAAGCTTGCTATTGGGAGGCAGAAAGCCCATTACCATCAAGATTCCAGATTCCACGTGGATGCATTATGAAGGCTGAGAGTGCAGATCTCTGCCTTCTCAAGAGACTTATTAAATGATCATTAGCTCTATAGTTTGGCAATTAGTTCAGCCAAAATTAAGGGAACAGTATAAGATGAAGCCTTTGCCTGTTTCTTGTCCTGAAGCTTCTGCAGTACACATCTGAGTTGTCGTGATGTCACAATTAGGGCCAGCTGTCAGCTTGATACAGACCTTGAGACACTGAGAAGAGGGGAAATTCAATTTAAAAAATTTCTTGCTAGGATTGGCCTTTGGCAAAGTCTGTGAGGCATTTTTTTTTTTTTAATTTCTAGGTAATGAAGGAGGGCCCAGACCACTGTGGGCAATGCCATTCCTAGGCAGATGGGCCAGGGTTATGTAAGAAGGGGTGGGAGGCCAGCCAGCCAATAGCATTTCTCCATGGCCTCTGCTTCAGTTCCAGCCTCCAAGTTCCTGCACTGAGTTCTGGAATTGACCTCAGCTGGTGACAGACTATAACCTGTAAGATGAAATAAACTCCTTTTATCCCCAAGTTAATTTTTGTCAGCGTTTTTTCACACCAACAGAAAACAAACCAGGACAGAAATTGGTCCTGGCCAATAGGGTCTTGCCATGATAGAACTTGTGTTATTTAGGGGAGGATTGTGGAGCTTTGGGATGGAAAAGCCTCTGGGTACTCAGACTTCACTGGGTTATTGTGTGGGAAGTTGGATGATAAGGATGACGAGAGAAATGAGGATTATAAGACCTGGCTTGTGAAGTTTCAGGAGTAAGTTTGAGCATCCCTCCCTAAAAGACTCTATCAAGGCTATTTGTATGATATACTTGAAAGAACAGTCTTCAGAAGTGAAGCCTGCAAAGATTGCTGAGATAAAGATGCTGGCTAGAGAGGATTGAAAATTCAGTTGATCAGTAAGAGACCAGCATTATTGAGATGCAATCTTTTGAGAAGTATTTCCTCAGGGTCAACACACAGAAGTTGTGGTGCAGAGGGAGCTAAGGCTGTACCTTGATCTGGCACCTGAACTTTGCAATGCTGAATCGCCTCCTACATGGTATCTGCTTTAAAGGCATGAAAGGGTCATGGAGAGCAGCTGAGCTTTGGTACTGAGTGGCAAGTTAGAAGAGAGGCCAGGAGAGGCAACTGATAAAGGTTCTGTTTCTGTTGCAATAAAGACCCTAGGATTGAGGGGTCATGGGGAGAAGCTGATGTTTGGCATCCTCAAAGGCCAAGATAAGCCTCTGTTGGAAGCTCAGCCTCGGTTGCAGAGGAGACCATAGAATATTGGAGATGCCAGGGTCATAGGATGACCACCAAGGTTAGAAGCAGGTGTGGAGTGGAGCTGGCCTGAGTCTTACAGACAAGCTGTGTGTATTGTAGATGGCAGAGCCAGAGAATTGGGACTTTCCAAGCCCATTAGAGACCAGAAGACCATGAGTAAGTCATCATTATTATTAGTTTTGAATGCTAGGCCTAGTTTAGACTCCTTTTTGGCTAGTTATTTTAACTTAAATTGACCTGTTTCTCTTTATCAACATTTTACTTGGGGCTTATTACCTTTCTTACTTCTGTATGTCTTACTTTCACTATTTTTCTATGTCTGGTTGGCTGGCATCTGCCTGGCTTCTTGCCCTGGGTGTGTCCCTTATTCTCTCCTTTTTCTTCTCCAGTCTTCTTCCCTTTATTGAGCCTGGATGTCGCCTTCTATTTATTTTCTCTGTCCACAAGACTTGGCTATCCTTTCTCTGCCCAGCTACTAGCCATTCAGCTCTTTATTAGACCAATCAGGTAAGGTAAAACAGCTTTTCATAATTAAACAAATACAACATAACAAAAGTTATACACCTTTACACAGTTAAAGCAATATTCTGCAGTATATACAAATATAACACATCTTTGTTTAGTTAAAATAATATTCTACAATGAGAAGTAGTCCTCCCTATGAAAGAGAATCCTGGCTATCCAATGCCAAATGGTTAGACCTTAAAATACACATACAAACCACATACAGAATGAGCAGGTTGTATTTATGTATTTAGGAATACATATATACATGCAATACAACAATTAATAAACAAAAAGAGGCCATGAATTTGAAAAAGAGTAAGGAGGAGTATATTAGAGGGTGTGGAGAGAGGAATAGGAAGGAGGAAATTATGTAATTTTAATCTCAAAACTAAGAGAAGTAAATAAAAATCAAAAAATGAAACAAAATTGCAATTAAAAAGATTATTGGATTTGTAAAGTTATACTACATTCTATACTGTGATATTAACATGCATGAGATCTTGGGGACAAATATGAAAGGAAGGTTATAGTTTAAAGCTTTGTTGGGTGAGAAAGTTGACCAGAGGTGAAATGTCAAAGTTAGCTTCAGAGGTCAACCTGACAAGCCCAGAGTCACATAGGAAGAGTGAACCTCAACTAAGAGTTGATCAGATCATATTGGCCTGTGTCTATGTCTTTGAGGTATTTTCTTAATTGTTAGTTAATTTAGGATGGTCCCAGCCCACTCTGGGTTGTGTCATCCATAAACCCAAAGGCCTGGATGGTGGAGGAAAGCAAGCTGAGCAAGACATGAGTAGCCAACCAATAAGCACCATTCTTCTGTGGTCTTTGCTTCAGTTTCTGCCTCCAGGTTCCTGCCTTGGCATCCGTCCATTAAAGTTTATAACCTGTAAGATGAAATAATCCCTTTGCTCCTCAACTGGGCTTGGTCAGTGTTCTACAGCAACAGAAAATCAAAATATGGCATAAGGTTTGATAAAAACAGAAAACCATCAGCATCGTCTTTCACATATTGGCCAGTAGAAGTAGCTTATATGGGGTTTTGGGTAGAAAAGCATCAATGCCGTCTGAGTTTTAAATTTAATTTAGGTATTTGTGCTAGTTGTGTGCATTTGTGCTAATTGCATCCCCTTCACTAGTCTCAGAGGTTCTGGTACCTTACTGAGTTCCCTTGCTTCCTTCCTTTTCAGTGTTTCAATCTTTCACCTTCTAGAGTTCCATCAGGTTTATTATAATTCAAATGGGGGCAGCTCCACCTCTTCAATCCATTCTAGCCCCCAGAAGTCATTGCTCTCCTCCTAGACCTTGTCTTTCTCTTTTTATTTATTTTTTTGATTTCTTTGCTAACACTCTGCCTTGCTGGGCTTTCTTAAAAGATCTGGAGTCCAGGCTCTTGGACTTTCTGAACCGCAGAACACACTTCTTTCTAAATTTCTGTGTTTGAGATAGCAGACACACAGCAGATTATTTCAGAAATCTGTGTCTACTCGTGTAACAATCTCTCTGTAATCACTGCTGCTATACAAAACCCTCAACAGAGAAAGCAAAGGAAGTGGCCATTCCTAAAGGAACTCACAGAGTTTATGTCAAGTTTATATCAATGACAGACTGGACGTCATTGTCCAGATGGCTGCAGCCAAATACTCAACACGTACGGCCTGTATTTTACAAAACAAACAAACAAACAAACAAACAACTAAAACACGAGTAATAATAGCTCAGAGACTGATATTGAGGTTTAACTTGTAAGTGAAAAAGGCAAAACAGCCAGCCATTGGCTCTTACCTCTACCTCAGTCCAAAATGGTGATCATGCCTCAGACTGTGTTTGAAAGCTGTCTCCTCCCATTATATAATCCACACTGGGGTTAAAGGCATGCACTGCCTGGTTTTTATGTCAACTAGTGTGGCTACTGGGATTAAAGGTGCGTGTTACCACTGCCTGGTCTGTAAGGCTGACCAGGGTGGCTGTTTTACTCTCTGGTCTTCAGGCAAGCTTTAGTTATTAAAATACAAATGAAATGCCACTGTGAAAGACCTGCAATAAAATCTGATATTGGATGGTCAAAACTGTGGTTATGGTCACTCTGCAAAGAAGGGTAAGCCAGGTGGTGGTGCGGCACGCCTTTAATCCTAGCAATCTGGAGGCAGAGGCAGGTGGATCTTTGTGAGTTCAAGGACAGCCTGGATTGCAGAGCAAGTTTCAGGACAGGCTCCAAAGCTACAGAGAAACCCTGTCTCAAAAAATCAAAAACAAAACAAAACAAAAAAACGAAAACCAAGAAAGAAAGGAAGAAAAAAAGAAAGAAACCAACAGAAAGCCCCAAGCAAAACAAATTAACAAAACCATAAAATAAAACAAAAACAAAGAGTCAGATGAGCTTTGGTTCAGGATGATACTGGTCTGAAAATGAGTGACTCTGGAAATTTTTCTGGTTTCTCCTTCCTTATTCTCTCTTTGCAAGCTCTCTGCACAGTTTGAACTATCACCTTGTGGGTTACTGCTCGTAGCCTTCTCAAAATCACAACACAATTAAACTCCTACCTCCATTTGATCTGTCTTCCTAGTTGTTGATGTCTATGCTATTCCATTTGAGGTTGACTTGGTCAGTTTTCTTTGTGTCCCGGAAACCCACAGACTGTAACTAGAAGGCCAGTGAGTCGCAGTGGAAACCCACAGATTGTAACTTGAAGGCCAGCGAGTCGTCACCACTGCAGAAATGTTTGCAGACTCTTGGTCAAGCAGATCACTTTTAGACATGTGCCTTATTGTGAAGCAAGAACAATTTGACTTTGACAACCTTTCAATTGCTTTCCAGTAATTCTGCACTGCTTCCACCCACAGCTGCCCAATGTTTTCTTCAAACTCAAGGCTAAATGTCTTTCAGCTTGAAGTCATTAGACAGACTTAGGCCACAATGAATCTCTTTCTCATAAAAAAAAAAAAAAAGATTTTTTTTTTTGATTTTTTGAGACAGGATTTCTCAAAAGACAGGGTTTCTCTGTAACTTTGGAGCCTTTCCTGGAACTAGCTCTTGTAGACCAGGCTGGCCTCGAACTCACAGAGATCCTGCCTCTGCCTCCCGAGTGCCGGGATTTAAAGGTGTGCGCCACCACTGCCCGGCTTCTCTTTAAAAATTTTTTTTAAAAAGACTTATTTTATTTTTCTTTAGGCATGTGCATATGAATTTGTGCATATGAGGGGCAGAAGAGAAAGTCTGATCCCCTGGAACTGGAATTAGAGGCAGTCATGAGCCACCCACAGTAGGTGCTGGGAACTGAACCGGGGTCCTCTGGGAAAGCAAATGAGCTGTCTCTGCAGCCCCATCTTAAAGTTTTGTACTGAGCACTTCTGTTGATAGCAAACAACATGACATGGGATTATATATTACTTTGTTACCTTTTTGCTGCATATCACATTTGTATAATTTCAC